ACCAAAAAAAAAAACAATTCTAAAGACATAAACCAAACCAAAAAACAAAATAAAAACAAAAAAAAATAAAAAAAAAAAAAAAAAACGTTAAAAAAAAAAAAAAAAACCTGCCTGGCAGCCCGACAGGAAAGGATTTGTCAATATTTAAGCGAGGAATCACCATTGTCAGCAGCACACCATGAACAGAAAGATACCAGATTGTGTGGAAAGACCAATGGGGCTGAGGTCTGCAGTGGAAATCTGTAGGGATTTGCTGCCTTGTTTCAGAAAGATTAAGGTGGGCATGGTTTGAATCATTCCAACTTCAAGAAGTGATAAAATGTGTATAATAATGACTTGCATTCATTAAACACATTTTATTCACAGCTTTCCCTGAGTACATGGTGCAGAGATTGTGATAAATTGTACGGCAGACTGATGTGCAAAGCTGATGCAATTACAGTCTCTGACATGTAGATAGGTAGCTTACTTTTCCCCTATGCAGGAACAGCATCTTATCTTTTACGTGCACAGTCACTGTAGGTACCAGACCTATTCTCTGTACTCCCCTCACACCCACCATATACTGACAGTAGCTCAAGGCGAGCTGCTCTGGTTGAAAGCTCAACCAGTAGGCTCTAGAAGAGGAATCCTGTTGATGCTCTGGGTTATTTGCACCAGCATAAACTGATGTTAAGTTCTGAACCCTCTCAAGCACTTGTGGCAACAATAATCAAAGGTGCTGAACACAGCCCTGGTGCAGCCACAGCACCTAATCCATACAGCCCAAGCAACAGGCACCAGGGTGCAGAAGGGCCTCTGCATGGCAGTGGTGTGCTGGGACGCTATCCCCAGCCCCTCCAGCAACTATCAAATCAAATTATCCCCTGATGAATCTGCCCCATATTCTGTTTGCGACAGCCTCCTCCAGCCCCGTTGCCAGACTCACTGTCTGTCTGCACAGCCATTAACAAATACCCAGAGCAAGCTGTTGCAACACTGGCTCTCTGTGAAGGTCCAAGGAGCAAACGTGGGCTGATCAGTAATAAATATTGATTTGTCTGTAAGTGAAACAGCGGCATTTATGGGATGGTGCTGGACACCCAAGTGGTGACCAAATTACCATGGGGTCAAATGCTTAGCAGAATGCTAATAAGCCATTTGTATGAGGGGCAGCAAAGCAGGAACAGCAAGGACTTCTGCAGAACTCTTCCATGTGGATCATTGTGAAGAGGGTCAAAGACAGGTCTATGCAATTTATAGCAGTTCAAGGCCCAGGTTTAGCCCTTTTTTAAACAGCCCCAAATGCTTTGGCCAGCCTCAGGGTTCAGCAAAAAAGGCTCCAACAGAACATCAGCCTCCAGACTGTCTCAGAAATGCAGTAAATTGTATGCATTTCCATAATGCAGCAACAGAATAATATTTAATTCTTTTTATTCATAGGGTCTAAGAGGTCTGCAGATACCCATCTTGTTTCCAAAAAGAGCCATTAAGAGAAATGCTGTTCACAACAAATCTTTCCATCTCTACAAAGGCCGTTTGGCCCAGTGACTGCTATCCCATCTCATCTGGAGCTTGAAAACTATTGTTGCATTCATGGCATTTTGCTGGTCATTTTGCTCTCAGATGACATTACACTGTTGATCCAAACCCAGTATTTGTTACTTTTTGGTGCTAAAGGGGAAACTAAAGCTGCCTTTTGCCTTTATGAGAGTAAGGACCCTAAAAACATTTACAGTGTCCTGATAAAAAAAGATAATAATAATCACAGATCAAAATAAAAACACTGAGTCTTTCATTTATGCTTTGTCCAATAGAGCATGTGTTTAATAAAACATGCATGTGTTTAATGCTCAGCTATTGAAAAGAGGACAGTAATTTTTTTCCAACTTTCCATAAAACACTGCCCTAAGAGTGGCACTATGTGCTTCCTATGGGAAACTGAGTGAAAGAGGGGCTTTTCTGCTCAAATCATGAGCATGAGCAATGTGAATCCTTACAAAGAAAGGGCTGAGAGCAACTGTAAGCAGTGGTGAATCAATCTCATGGACTGTGGATTGGGCCTTAGGAGAAAACATTGCCAGCTTTACCTCTCAACTGAAAAGTGTGTGACAATATCCCCATGAGCCATATGCTTGAGATTTTGCTCCCTGGAGGTGTATCACTCTCATTCTGTGCTCTGGGAATAAAATTTCACAAAAGCATATCTGCAGGTTGTGACCAGATTTGCCAGGAGGATGCATACTTTTGAAAGGCAGTCTGACCTAAAAGGCAACCCAAGGCCTATTAATTGTTAATGCCATCAGAAATAAAGGACTACATTTTACCACTCTTCCTACAGCCCAGTTGCTCCATTTCAGTCTGCCCTTGTAGTTGCCTCAGCAGAGAATTTGCCACCCACAGTTCAACCCCTAAGCACTGCTTCTTTGACCTTTTAGATGTGGCTTTCAGTTTCACTGGATCCTCACTACTAGTGAGAGAAGTTGAAATTTGAAGAAGAAAAGAAAAAGGGAAAAGGCAAGAAGAAATATCAGTCTTCCTCTCTTTCCTTTGCAGTAATTTGCTCCCAGTTTATACTATTTCTCAGTTATTAGAACTAAAGAATAAACACAAGTTATTCTCCCAGAAGGAAGGGGATCAATTTCCTTTCTGCAGCACTCACACACTAGAATAATCTAGCTCAAAAAATGCTTTGATCAACACATTAACATGCAGAGAAATCTAATCCCACAGCAGACCAGCAGACCATGGGCGTTTTGACTTCTGTGAGGTCAGAATTTCAGTCACAAACACTTCCTGTCTGGTATTTAGAGCTGCATCTCTATCTGACTCTGGCCTAGGTTTACATATAATTTTAACGCCTTCGTAATAACAATTAGAAAAACAAAAGCAATGGTATAAACCTGTTAGGTCCCGCATCTTTCTCCTGGAAATAAAAAAAAGTCCTGAAGAGAGAACATCTTTTATTTGACATGACCATAAATCATCTAATCAACCCTTTATCCCTCCATCTCACGAATGGAGAGAACTGACTCCAAAGAATATCTGCCAACTTTGTTTTCATCTTCAAATGTAATGTCATGGGGAGGACACAAAGGAGATGGTAAAGGGATTACCAGGACTGATCTCATGAAGGTATTAATGTCCTTTCATGCTGTTCCTAGAAAGGAAGAGGAAGATCCAGACCTAAAATATTTAAAGTCTGAAATCCTATTAAAACCACATCTGTTATCTGAAGAGGCATTTATGTATGTCTCAGACTGAATGTGGGGCAGCCACCACCACTGTTCAAGGCAGTCTCAATTCCAGTAAAAATTAGGAGTGTGAGAGCTCAGAAAATCTTTCCTTATTTCCTCCAAACGCAGAATTACTTCTGACATTTCTAGGACTTCTTCCAGTAGTGAAAAGTTATTCCTGATCCCACTGAAGTGGGTGGCACAGCCTCCCTAATTTCAATACCAGGAGTAAGGGGGTCCCCAAGCACAAATAATGGAGAGGCAAACAGTGTTTGACACACACATACCTGGGTGAAAGAGAGCAGGGGAAGGAGGGATTGCCACTGTTGGGAACTTCTCCTCTCCTCCTCTCACGTCTGCCCAGAGGTGCAATAGCCACATATTGGAAGGGGCTTCAGAGCTCATGAGGCTGATGTTGAAAAGTAAATCCCAGTGTTTAAAGGAGTGCACTAGCCCCCTGAGTATGCTACCATTTCATGCTAGGTTTTGCATGTAATTGGGCTCTTATCACCTCCACAACATCACAAGGTTTATACCAGGGTGATTCATAGATCCCAAAGATGTTCAGCAAGGGGGAAAGCAAGGTGGAAGTCTGTGCTTTGCTGTCACTTCTTGTTTTGTTATGTTGCCATTTGCCAGTGATCCTTTCTAAATAAGGATAATCTGAAAGGCTGCTGGACTTTGTAGGAAGCATCTATTGAATAAAGAATTTGTAAAGAGTCAGAAAATGAGCAAAAACTAATGAATCAGCATACTGCAATTAGGCTGTCTTTAAGAGACTGCATGTGACGTCAACAAAACCAGTGAAGACAGAGTACCAGTTCCTACAAGACCTAGTCAAAAACTTGGCCAAAAATAGAGCATGGTAATCTATATTGAAAAAATCTGTATGAAGAAGCTTACAATACAGACAAAGTAGACAGAAAGAGGGAGACACAATCATCAGGTCCAAGGTTAACACTTCTGCTGGAGGAAAAGGAAGTAATCTAAGTGTGTGACATGAATATTCCTATGTCAATATTGCCTTTACCAGTGAATCCTTACCAGTGTCCTTCTTTTTTGTCCGTGAAAGCTCATGCACTGTTACTCCAATATCATTTCTTAAGGACCTGATGATCTTATCCAACGCTGGGACATTATTGCCTTCCAAGTTAATGAAGAATTCATACTCATCTTTATTGAGACGAGAAGGTCGAGATTCAATGTGAGTCAGATTTATGCCTTTTTCCTACGAGAAAGAAAGAATTTGGTCACATAGTGTCTGAAGGAAGGAATACAACAAAACAACTAGGCGTCAGTGAACTACCTATGCCATGTAGTACTAATAACTCAAAAGCAGAGACTTGACTCTGATTGCCATTGGACTGAAGGCTTTAAAAATGGAGGGAATGAAAAGGGAATGAAAAGGGAAACTGAGAAGGATATAGGATTCACCCTTGTGCAGAGCAGCAGTATAAAAACCATTACCACATAAACCTTAGAAAAAAGCAATCCAAGTTGCAAATAGGATTTGTACTGTAAATGGTAACTCTAGTACTGCAAGCATATATTGGAATCTCACCTGTGTAAACAAGAACTTGTTCCCAGGATCAACATGGAAAAGAAAAGATTTTGTCCCTCTTAACAGAAGGTGAATGTTGTATTTATGTACGTTTTTAAAGGCGGTCATAAATGCAAGGATTGGGTTGTCCTGTGAGCTAAGCTTCTGCCCAGCCAACAGAGTCGTCTGCAAAGCCACCTCCACAGCTTCCAGGTCTGTGAGCAGATTTTGGGCAGAGATCCAATAGGAAATATGGATCTACACCAGAAAGGTAGCCCAGGGTTGAGTAAATAAAAACATGGTTGTTGTAAGATCATAGAATCACAAAAACAAAGAATTGCAGTCAATGAGAATGCATGGGAACTATGGAAATAATCTAGTCCAAGCATTTGCTCAAGTAGACTTCACAAAAGCTGGTTGCTCAGGACTGTTTTCAGTTAGTTTTTGAGTATCTTTACAGATGATAGAAAATTTACAGCCTCTCCAAGCAAACTGCTCCAGCATCTGATACTCTCACAACAAAAACAAAATATTTGCTTTAGCGCAGAAAGTCGAAATCTGTCTTGACAAAGGCCTTCACTTACAAACAGCAGCACCTCCTAGCTCTGAAGAAAGGGACTGTTTGCAACCATAGCTGTAACAACTATGACTACTTGGCATCTAACCTCTGCTGTCACCATGACAAGTAAAGTATAATAAAAGTAAAGCAATCAGTAGCTAAGATCATATTTTTTAGAAAAATCTTTTAAAAAACCTTTTTAACAGATTTTAATCAGTGCTGACCTTCCTTCAGGCTCCCACGACAGCCACAACCATGTCTGGGTCAGTTTCTGTCTCTTGCAAGGAAGAGCGCTAATTAACCCTGTGAGAAAATTTTGGCCTGAAGAGTAAACCCAGAGGAGTCAGAGGAGCTGACGCACGGTGCTCAGCAGCCACACTGACATTGCTGTTTCACTGCTTTCAGGCTCAAGTAGATCTCAGACTACATGGGGTGAAATGATGGCCTCACTAGTATCAGTATCAACCCCCTGCAGTGGGGTCAGGATTTCATCCATGAAGAAATGCTGCAAGGATCTATTTGTGACCTACAGGGAAGAAAGAGCAAAGATTTTTTTTCTCTACCTCCCTCTAGCTTGAGCTTCTCAAGCACTTTAAGGTTTTCTTTGCTGCTCTCAGTGCTTGCACAGTGCAGGGGGGCATCTGGCCATCAGCAGCAAAGGCCTCATTCACTCCACCACAAAAGGCAGTTTATTACTTTGTAGGAAACAGCATGCATGTCATTCCTCTGTTTTCTAAGTGTCACACGCTACAGATGAACTTAAATTGTTTGGCTAGATACCAATACAATAAGTTGAAAAGGTCAAAAGCTCATTCACCACCAACTGCCGCTCTAGAGAGATAGTGTCCTCATGGGGCTGTCTGCGGGCAGAGAATGGCTGTCACTGTGCTGGGCCCTGAGGACAATTTGTTTTAGGCCTCCAAAGCCCCATTTCATAAACAGACTGCACATTGTCCCCTCTGTGCAATGAGGCACTGGGCGGCAGATTGGCCGGGAGATGGAAATTCAAATAACTCCAAGCTGGAAAGCTTTTGACAGAGAGCAGGCACAGGGCCCTTTCACCACGACCACACCATGGAGATCAGTGCAGTAACACGGGGCTGGCACCCCTTCGGCATAGCCACTCACAGGGGTGGAGAGAGCGTAAAACACATCTCTGTGCAAAGAGTGGGCCAAACACACTGAGGTGCTGCTTTACATTCACTTTGCATCACTTGGTGCATCAGGGCATTATACCCTGTATCTGCGTAGTATCACAAGAGAAATGGGTCCAACTTCTTGCAGAGGTTGTGATAATATGAGTCTCTCTTCAGCAGCTGTTACTACCTACTTCTTTTTCCCACTCAGCATCCTTCTCCCAGGGGTAGCGTGGTTGTGTGAGATATTCCACAGGTTACCTCAAACTGTATGTTTTATTTTTGGCAAGGTAATTCACAGAATTGTAGGGGTTGGAAGGCACCTCTAGAGATCACCAAGACCAACCCCCCTGCCAAAGCAGATTCCCTAAACCAGGTCGCACAGGTAGGCATCCAGGCAGGTCTTGAATATCTCCAGAGAAGGAGACTCCAAAACCTCCCTGGGCAGCCTGCTCCAGTGCTCCGTCACCCTCACCATAAAGAAGTTCTTGCGCACATTTGTGCGGAACTTCCTATGCTGCAGCTTATATCCGTTTCCCCTTGTCCTGTCTCCACGTCCCACTGAATTGAGCTGTACCAGTTCTCCAACTGGGCTCAGCAAGCAACTGCACAACCAGTAGTGCCTGCAAAATGGAGAGAATGTGCTGAGGTTGGAAATGAAGAAACAAGCCATGGGGCGGGCACAAGTCAGTGGAAGTATCAGTGGCTTCCAAAGTACCATGGAAAAAGAAGAGATTGGGAAAGAGAAGAGATTGGGAAAGAGAAGAGATTGGGAAAGAGAAGAGAAGAGAAGAGAAGAGAAGAGAAGAGAAGAGAAG